AACCTACTTTAGGGGGTTACATGCATGAACGGATGTTGTACTTTGTCAAATGTTCCTTTCCGCATGTATTGAAATGACTGTATGCTTCTTTCCTTTTAACGTTTATTAATTTTGAGAGAGACAGAGCGTGAGCAGGGGAGGGGCAGAGAGAGAGGGAGACATAGAATTCGAAGGAGGCTCTTGGATCTGAGCTTTCAGCACTGAGTCTGACGTGGGACTTGAACTCAGGAATCATGGGGTCATGACCTGAGCTGATGTCGGACTGCTAAAGGATTTAGCCTCCCAGGTGCCCCCCGATCATATGGTTCTTATCCTTTTTCCTGTTGATATATTGTATCACATTGATTGATTTGCGAATACTGAACCACCCTTGCATCTTGGGAATAAATCCCACTTAATTGTGGGATATATTTACAGTTGTTATATCTCCTTTTGGACTGTACCCTTTACTGTTATATTACGTCCTCCTCTGTCTCTTGTTATGTACTTGGTTTTAAGTGTATTTTTTCTGATACAAATATTGCTACTCCAGCTTTTGTTTTTTCATCCATTCTTACACCCTATGTCTCTAGATTGGAGCATTCATTCCATTTACCTTCAAAGAAATGATTGATATGTACGTATGTAGGAGGTTAGAGTGGGAGAGAGCCAAAGCATAAGAGACTCTTTCAGTCTGTTCACTTAATTTTGTTGAGTACTCTAATGCTGAGGGATTCATAATTGGATTTATTTTCACTAAATGGTACGAACTGCAGTTCCAATCATGACAGAAAGCACGTGCTTCCTGTGTTAGGTATACAAGAGCAAGGCAGATACCCTGGGCATTTGAGCTGAGTATGTCACTCTGTCTTTTTGCCAGCCCTTTTCCCTTCCCTGGGAGACAAGGGTCTCGTTTTGGTCACACAGAAATGTAGGTGAAATCAGCAGAGAAGGGTCCCTTCTCTTCTCTTCCGTTTGTCTCTCAAACTCCCTGTCACTACCTTCTGCCTGTCCCTTTCCCTGACTCAATCCCCCAGGCCCACTGCTCCACTCCAGCCATGATCAGGGTGTCCTCCAGCTGCTGGCCTCTACTCTAGCCATCGCTCAGTGAGGAAGCTACAGGAAGATTATGTAGTTCATGGGTCTGATCAAGAAATCTCTGCTCCTCAGAGTCCTCCTACATGTGGTGCTGTCTGTGGAGACCTGGCATCCTGGGCATGGGTCTGACCCTCCCTCCTCTCCACAGTCACTGTTGGTCCCTCATCCTTCTCCACCATTAGAACTTGGCCATTTCCTAAGGACAGATACCTGTCTATCTGACCCCAAGGCACAATGGGGTCAGGGAATATTTCCAGAATAGTTGAGCATAAGCACCCCATCAATCTAGATATAGGAAGTTCCCATCATCCCGGAAAACTCCCTCAGGCTCCCCTGCACAAAGGGTGATCTTGCTTCTATCCTCCATCACCACCATTTCTGGCACTTTGTTACCTTTATGTACAGGAACCCCACTGTGTGCATTCAATGGGGAGCGAGAGTAGATGGCCCTAGAAGCAGACGCTGACACAGAGACAAAACGATGAAAGGTAGATTATGGGACAGTAGGAAGGACAAAGTGGAGGGGACAGGATGGGCAGGGAGAGCATTCAGGTAGATCTGACACCTTCTTAAAATGTATATACAAACACGATTGTCTGTCACCGTGCACAGTCCTCTTCACTGTCAAAAGAGTTGTCCTATAAGGCAAAGAGATTTTGGTTTATTTCCCTGTGGTCTTATGTTTTCCTACATGCATTCTGTCTTCTGTAGTTTCTCCGTGGCCTCAGATGAACACTGTAGTGTGTGGCTGCATCTGTGAGATTATGTGTAATAGAAAATGATTGTCTTCAGATCTAGGTCTCTGAATGTACACATTCTCATAATTATCTTTTCTTTCATTGTGTGACAGGGCCCGAATTCTAATAGAAAAATGAGGGACATTGTCTTATTTTTTAAAACAGTGATTCCCACTCCCTGGGATGAGTTGTTAACAGTCTTAGTTTAATGAACTCCCGAGACCATCTATTTTGGAGGATCATTGTGTGGAGATATCTTAATTGAAACTGTGAGAAGCATGAGAGGACACTTCCCAGAGATTTTGCAGATGCTTTCTGCACTGAGTGTCTTCTTTTTCTCTTGTTCTTAGAAACAAATATTACCCCTTAGAAACAAATATAACACAGCTGAGGCTCTGTGTAGGTCCCACTGAGAACTGGTATTAAGGCTGAGACAGCAGGAACACAGGCAAAGCATCATAATATTATGAGAGAAGTTTGAGGAGATGCAAAGCTGTAGTCAGGGTGATGACAGGGGTCTAGCAGTGGTGGCATCTGGCCAGCCCTGAATTGTAGGTTGACCCAGGCTGAAGGCCAATGCAGGCACTCAGCTGATCTAGACCCTGTCTCCACTTTTAGTCTCACTGAGGGATATGAACTTGGGCATACACCATTTTCATAAGACCAAGTTAAATTCCCCATATCTCCAGAGCTTTTTTTCCCCCACAAATATCCAGAACCTTGAGGAAAATCCAGGGAGACAACAATCTTTTTAGATGATTACCTGTGTGCACTTTGGCAACACGCTGACATTTTAGAGATGAACACTGGATTGTGCACTGAGAGCGATCCCACATAGCAGCTCTGTATGGACCTCATACTCCCTGCTCAGGCTGTGGCCAGGAATGACCTCCAACTGCATCTCACTGACCCCAACACCCTCCCCTCTGCACCTCCTCAAACTCTGCTTACTGTGCTCAACTTCCCTTCTATTCCTGTATGATTCAAGGTCCCCCCGTTTTTGCACTGGATCCTTCACTGGTGTTTCCATTATGGTGATCACAAGGTCTGCATCATTTAATGAATGTCCCTCTTTCTTTTATTTTTTTCAATATATGAAGTTTATTGTCAAATTGGTTTCCATACAACACCCAGTGCTCATCCCAAAAGGTGCCCTCCTCAATACCCATCACCCACCCTCTCCTCCCTCCCACCCCCCCATCAACCCTCAGTTCTCAGTTTTTAAGAGTCTCTTATGCTTTGGCTCTCTCCCACTCTAACCTCCTTTTTTTTTTTCCTTCCCCTCCCCCATGGGTTTCTGTTAAGTTTCTCAGGATCCACCTAAGAGTGAAAACATATGCTGTCTGTCTTTCTCTGTATGGCTTATTTCACTTAGCATCACACTCTCCAGTTACATCCACGTTGCTACAAAGGGCCATATTTCATTCTTTCTCATTTTCACGTAGTATTCCATTGCATATATAAACCACAATTTCTTTATCCATTCATCAGTTGATGGACATTTAGTCTCTTTCCATAATTTAGCTATTGTTGAGAGTACTGCTATAAACATTGGGGTACAAGTGTCCCTATGCATCAGTACTCCTATATCCCTTTGGTAAATTCCTAGCAGTGCTATTGCTGGGTCATAGGGTAGGTCTATTTTCAACTTTTTGAGGAACCTCCACACTGTTTCCCAGAGTGGCTGCACCAATTAGCATTCCCACCAACAATGCAAGAGGGTTCCCATTTCTCCACCTCCTCTCCAGCATCTATAGTCTCCTGATTTGTTCATTTTGGCCACTCTGACTGGCGTGAGGTGATATCTGAGTGTGGTTTTGATTTGTATTTCCCTGATGAGGAGCAACATTGAGCATCTTTTCATGTGCCTGTTGGCCATCCGGATGTCTTCTTGAATGTCCCTCTTTCACACAGGACACCTGATGCTCCAAAATTTCGGGGTGCACCTCATTCATTGCAGAACCTAACACATTGTGTCTCCAAAATACACACCAGTACTGCTGATACGTCTGCTTTTGTGTAAAAACTCCTCTTTCATTTGACAAGAGAAATGTATAGCTCACTGTATTACAGGGACACGACACTTCCCATTGTATGTATGTCCTGAGAAACTTGAGATATGCTACGGTGTCCTCAGGCAGCTTGTAGTTGGATTGCCAAGACTCACAACCATCACTACATCATTGCCACAAAGTCAATCATGAAGAAGATGAATATATTTTACCAGCCACTCATCTAGTTCAGGTCATCTTAACAAATAGAGTAGGTGGAGGAGCTGGTGGAGGAGGGGGGTGTGGCCTATAGCCCATAACTGGTGGTAAAGGGTGGTCCATGGGGTACAGCCTCCAAGGCGATCCTGGGAAAGGACCAGGACTCTTGCATACAAAATAGCCTGCAGAAAAGAAATTAGAGGTATGTTCATAGGAGAGAACAGAGCACCAACACCAGCAAAAAGCAGAAACCCAAAGCAGCAGTGCTCATATCCTACTAGCTTCGCCACCACCAGTTTCCAAGATGGCAACATCAGCGCCAAAATCTCTACCCATACTTTGGGTTCCACTTACAGCTTTGGGGTGAGGAATGGATGTGATTGGGATAAACTAGTGTCTCCACGTGTCTGGAAATGTAGAAACAGCAAGGGCCCTTTTTCTAGAAGATTTATAGGCTGAATACTAAATTAACAAAGTAGGATATTCCAGATAGGAAGGCAACTATGTCCAGGATCACGCTCCACCCTTCATCCCCTCCGCCACAGAGGCTGTTTATTGTGTCTATGAAGAACTACAGAATGAGAAGGAATGACAATGCCAGTGTCCACACATGGAATCATAGCCCTCGTGGCTCAAAGCTCTGCCTCTAAGTCCCTGCCTGTGCCCAAACTACTTCTGTCCCAACAATGAGGTCTCCTCCTCTCTAAAGTGCTATCCATGGGCACAGAGACACATGGGGAGATGGGGATCCTGAGGGCCTGCAGAGGACCTTGGAAAGCATGCTCTTAGAGAAACAGCTACCCTATACATGTTAGTTGGGTTCAGCTAATTTAATTTACTTGAGAGATACTTCTCAGCTTAAGTGCAGTACACTTTGCAGGGTAATTGTGTCCTCTGGAAAAATGAGCTGAAATTCCAAAAGACAAAATTAACACAAATGCACTTTGATGTCTGGTGTAAGTTTCCATGTTTTTAGCTGTACCTGTGACACAGGACACGAGAGAACGTGCTCATGTGAACACAAGTGAAGGACACCGTGGGGACTTGCCACACAGGTACTTTTGGATTTTTTTTCTCTTCACAACTTAAGTTTCAGTGCGTGTTTTCTATGACAAATATGCCACCTCTTATAGTTGAGAGTATTTATGCCCAGGGCACACCTGAGGGGATTCTGGACAGCATGTTTACCAAAATGCTGATGGGTATGAAATTTACTTTGTCTAAGACCATTCTAAATGACACATACAAAAATATAGGTTGGAGTGAAGGCAGTTCGCATTTTCAAATTGTAAGGATACCCACAGGTTTTTCTGACCACGTTAAAACCCTCGAAAGAAGGAAACAGGAGAGGAAGACACAGCAAGAGCAATAATTCCACATTGAGGAGATCCACAGAGAATGAGCCAAAGTAGGAGACTTCCAAGTGGAGGGTGGTGTCATCCTCCTTGATTTATTCCAGGAACACATTGGAAAAGCCCTATGGTCCCCACCTTTAGGCATGCTTAGCTGCTCAAGTTACCACAAACAGATGCCAGCTGGAAAACAGGGAAGCCCGTAGACTCGGCGGTAAAAGTTTTGCATTTGGGAAAAAAACAAAAACAGCAGACATACCATACGACACACAAACCAGAGATAATGGCAGGAGAGTGTCCTGTACAGAAAGATGTGGCTGTCCGTAAAGACTTATAACTGAAAATGGCCACAGCATTTACTTTGTGCTTCTCGGCAGTTTTGGCAGAGCCAATGTCGATGTCACTCTTGGTTGTGACACCTACTTGTGGACCTGCAAAAAGCCCTAGAATGGATGGAGGTTTATTCTGATTTGAGTAGACTGTTTGGAGATCAAAAACAAAAGACCCTCCCCTGATACTTCCGACAACTTAAACTCTTTGCCCCAGTGAGACCCCAAATTACATGCACAGGGTGTCCCACATACCTCCAGTGATCCCCAAGAAGAACTTGAAGAACCATCCCTTATAACTTGATGAAGACTCCTAAAAATCCCTGATTCAGATGTATTCATCACTCAGCGAACAACTATGGATGGCTGGGGGCACAACTAGATGGACATACGTTATGTTTTGCCTCATGCCTCACAGATCCCAGCACGTGGACTGTGTACAGGGCACTTCTGGTGAAGCGCTACGTCTGCTTTTCTGCATACGGCCCCATTCCTTCTCCACAAGAGACGCCTGTACCAACCCATGGTGGGGGAAAGGACAAAGATGAGATCCTGAGAAACTTGAGGAATATGGTAATGGCAGCAGACACATTCCCCTTGCATCACAATGGTCTGTGGTACCGCCTCTGCACCTTGGCCCAAGACCTAACAGCAACAAAAATAAGGTGAGTGTGTCTTACAAGTCAACTCCTAGTGCTTAGATCATCTTACCAAGTGTTGCAGGTGGAGGGGTTCCAGGTGGCCCCAGGGCCACCAAGGTTCAGGATCCTGAATTAGGTGGACGTGCCTAATAGTCCATGGGGGCGGGGGCGTCTCCAAGGTAGGGCATGCAGAATCATCCAGTCAATGGAGGAGGTCCCCAGGATCCAGACTGCCCTGCAGAAGTGACAGCTACATCCATATGCCAGACAAGAGAACCAATACCAAAATCAGCTGTAACCCAGAGAAGAATGTGTCAGCACCTGCCACCTTCTCTGCCACCGGGATCCAAGAGAGTAGCATCAGTACCTGAAAACTCTGTCCCTGCCACTGGACACCACCTACAGCTTGGGGTAGTAGATGCAAGAGGTTAACCTACTGCCACCACACATCATTGCCCATGTCTGTGGAAGTAAAATGGCAAGGGTCCTGTCCTAGAGGCTTAACAGAAGTAATTACAGATTAATGAAGTAGCATTCTCCAGACAGGCAGCCATCGATGTCCAGGTTCACCCTGCATCCCTCCTCTACAGCGACTCCAGATGCTCTGCTTTTGGTATATTAAGAACACACACATGAAAAAATGAGTGGGAATACACAGCTCATATTCTGCTCATGGAATCACAGCCACTCCTGGCAAAAAGTTCTGTAGCCGGACCCTCACTGTGCCTCCTCTGGTCCTCTCCCTGAGAAAGGAGTCTTCCCTCTTGAAGTGTTGTCAATGGCCTCTGAGACCTCTGGGGAGTGAAGGATGCCTGGAATCTTGCAGGGGAATGAGAGTCTTCTGTGAACAACAAGTCACTTGTGAATGTCTACAAAGCTCAGATGTGTTCATCTTAATTCATAGGGAATTATGACCTTAAGCATACTACAGGACACAGAGTAATTATGTGCAACAGAAAAAAAGAAGGAGAAATTCACATAACAGATTTCATGCAAGTGTTTTGGTATAAAACTCCTGGTATGTGTCATGAGACTGTATCAGCTCTAACAGTGACTGGGTACAGAAACCAAAAACTGCTCATAGAAACACAATTGAAGGACACAGTGTTCAAACTATTTTTAGCAAAGGTATAGCTGGAAGGATTCCAGGCAAGTCATTTACCAACAAAGACAGGAAGGTGATGAGTGATGACACTGGCTTTATCTAGGACCACTCTAAATGGCACAGGGCACAAAATATAAAGTTGGAGTCATGAGGTCATTTCTAACAGGTTCATCTCCTAGCCAGAATCAAGAAAGAAAGACATAGCAGCCACACTCTTCCCACAGAGGTGAGGTCTGGAAGGGGTCACCCAGGCCAGGAGACTTCTGTTTGGAGTGTGCAGTCATCTTCCTCTCATTATTTCTTGAAACTCACAGAAAACCCTTAAGGTAGGTACTCAGTCTCTAAGCGCTTTTGGCTTCTAAACTTACCACAGAAAGCTGACAGACTAAAAATGGAGAAGCCTGTGGGCTCCTGGGTTATGAGCATGCGTTTCGAAAACAAGAAACAGACCTATCACACAACACGCAAAACGAGACAAGGCTGGGAGAGCGTGCTGTACATAAAGATGAGGGTTTCCCAAAAGAGTTACAACTGAGAATGGCCCCGGCATTTACCTTGTCCTTGTCTGCAGACAAGGTTGCAGACAGCTCTTGGTACAGCCAGAGCCGCTGTAACTCACAGAGGTTTCAGCAGTTTCTCGATCTACTAAAGACCCTAGAAGGGACAGAGGTTTATTCTGCTTTCAGAGGACTGGGCAGAATGAAAACAATCCAACTCATTCCTCAAATATCTTAAACTTTTCCCTACAGTCAGGTCCTTGACCAGAGGCAGAGGGTATCCCACATGCCTCAGGTGACCCCCAAGGATAAGGGAGAGAACCGTCCCCTCACCTTGATAAAGACCTCACGGTGCCCTAGTTCATGTTGTTTCGTAATTAATCACATAAGTGTGGACAGGTCAGGCACAACTAGCAATTAAGAATTCATCAGTAAAGCAGTTTTCTCCGTATACATCATGGGAAATCATGATGTCATTACAGATCAAGAATTAATATGAGGATGCTTGAATTCAGCATCCGACTCTTAATTTTGGCTCAGGTCACGATCTCACAGCTTGTGAATTCAAGCCCAGCGTTGGGTTCCTCACTGAAAGTGTGGAGCCTGCTTGGCATTCTGTCTCTGCCTCTCTCAAAATAAATAAACTTAAATAAATTTAAAAATAAAAAAAGAATAACATTGAGAATACTGGTTTGGTGTATATCCTCAATGAGTCCTCAAGAAGCGTGCATTTCTTCAGACTTCAGGCAAATTGTTCAATCTCTCAGCTTATCTACAAGCCGTCTTCCACATGAGAGCTGTTAGTATATAATGAAAGACTAATTTTACACTATTGAGAAAAGGAAAACTGTGAGATGTTAGCAGTGAAGCTGCAGAGTTGCACTGATAACATCAGAGGACTGAGCTAAGCTTTATGGAACTTGAATTGAGGGATGTAGGGCTACATCCCAAAAGCAAACAAAAATAAAGACGGTTAAAACTAGTGAATAAATGACCTTCTCCTCAAATAAAGTCTTCACATTGAGTCTGGGTGGGAAGAAGGATGAGGCCCATGTCCTGTCATCCTTTCCAGGCTCTTCAGACAGGGGGAGGCTAGAGGAGGTGGGAGGGTCACAGTCAGAGGAGGGGCATGAGCTCCACCAGTCACAGGAACAAGTGCCTCACTGTGTGCAACACCAGAGGAGAACACCCTTCTGTCACCCCTTCAGACCACCTGCCGTCCTTAGTGCTTGTGATTCTTTCCAGACCACACAATGATCATCCACAGGAACAGGCTGCACAGCAGAAGTTAAGATTGCAGCACATCACAACGTGCTCCTTACCTGTCCTTGGAGGGTTCTGCGTCTCTGGTCTTGCAGCCATTGGTTTCTGGCTCGTGTATCCCTCAGGCAGCCTCTTTGCTTCCATTCCATCCAGTCTTGGATACAGAAAAATAATGGACTTCTATAAGAGTCGCAAACACCACGTCGTCTACTAGACAACTAACAGTGCAGGCGTCATCCCTGGAAACACCCATAAAAACGCAAGTCAAATGACCACACCTGTATTTCAAGTAAGCGACCTCCGTGCCCTGCTCCGCCATCTCCCTGTCCCAGATCTGAGTCTTGATCTGGGGAGAAAAAACACATCCACCTTCAGTCGCAAGGTGGTGCCACACTGTGCACCAAAGAAAGAGGAGGAAACAAGAAAACACTTACCTAGTTGTCCTGAGCATTCTTCTCATGAACTGCGAGCTGAAAAGGCCAACAATGAAAAGCCCGTGGTTAGGGATTCCAAGGGCCACTACACTCACCTGCATGAGGTGCTAAGGGTTCAGTATGTCAGGAAGAACTCAGGTTACCTGGTATCTAAAGGTGAGCTCTGCCTGCTGCAGCTGTTCCCGTGTTTGTTCCATTTGTTGCCTGTGAGTTACAATTGCTCTTGTCAGATAAGGCTCAATATTGGGTACGATTTTAAATAATCTGCCCACGTTCCCAACAACCTCGTATCTGTCCCCTGATACAATTTATTCTTACACATGAAACACTTTGCACATGATTATCAATGTACAGTAGGATCAAAGCTATTGTTACATCCTTTCCTTACTCATTATTCCATGCCTGTAGGGTTCAGAGTTCATAGAATTCCTTCCCATTTTCAATCTTTCTCTAACTCATCATGTGACAAGTGTCTTTTATCATAAAGCTCTATTATTCTATAACTTATATCCTCACCATGTTTCCCAGGGTTGCAAAGACGAGGGCCATGAAGTGGCACTACCACATTGATGGGTATGATTCATTGTACGACACACTGCTTTCCTACAGATTATGACAATTGACACCACCCCGGAGGAATGTTAGCATGGACAAAGTTTCCACACAGTCTGGCCACTACTTGAGATCTGCAAATGTTTAGAAACTTGTTTTATTCTTTCTAAAACTTACCTTTTTTATCTGTTAATACTCTATGCATATGTTGACTTTAAACATTGCAAAAAGATTAAAAACACAATAATGAACAGCGGTTTCATTAGCTGCTGGTAATTACTAGCTGAACTCACTTGTTTATTTCTTCTGTAGCTATTTTCTTTTTTTTAATGTTTATTTATTTTTGAGACACAGAGAGTGAGCACATGCATGAACGGGGGAGGGACAGAGAGAGATGTAACATAATCTGAAACAGGCTCCAGGCTCTGACCTGTCAGCACAGAGCCTGACACGGGGCTCGAACTCATGGACTGTGAAATTATGACCTGAGCTGAAGTTGGACGCATAAATGACTGAGCCACTCAGGCGCCCCTTCTGTAGCTATTTTCGAATTTTACCTGCAGCTGCCAGCTGATTCTTCTTTGCCGCCAGTTCACAGTGTCATTTTCAGCTTCCTAAGATGGGAAAGATACATACACAGTCAGGAACAAGGTCCAGAAGTTCCCCCTTTTTACCTCCCAGCACTCTTGAAGGCCTATGCAAATATCCCTTTCCCCACTTCTCCCATAAATGCACAGACTGACAACCCAATCAGAGAAATGAAGTGAACACCCCATTTAAATTCAAGAAAATTCAACTTCTGTCTGCTGCCACGTCTCTGCTATTGGAGCTGTCTTTCTAGTTCTCTTGTTTCCTCTCCTTTATCATAAAGTCATCAAATAACATTGTACTTTGTGCCTTCCCAGAGTTGGTCTTTTGTTTGAGATGGTGAAGACTCATTTCATCAGTGAGTGAAAAACCGTATCTGACCAACTGTACCCATTAGGATGACACAGGGGATCATCACTAGTCTTACACCTCCATGGGGAGCCCTGATTCTCAGTCCAAAAGTTGTACCATGACACAGGCAATCACCTGAAAGACGACCTTCCAGAATATGGTTTCACTAAAATTGCAGCTCACTCCCAGACATCGCTAGCGTTCAGGACTGCAACCCCTGCCTCCACCTTCAAAAGGCCAATCTTAGAACAACATCTCCTGACGTACAACCTGATATGAACTGTCACACAGTCTGGGTTTACTTCCAGGAAACAGATTTCAGGTGGAAAACTCTCAACTTCATGGAGCCAAATCTACTTTAACAAGACTCATTCCATGGATAGTGAAGGCAGCAAAAGGCAATGCTTGGCAAGGCTGGGTGGCTGTGTTGCCTTCAGACTATTCTCTTTGTAGTGTTGATTGAGACGGATTCAACTTGACACTTTATGTACTCAAGAATCACATGCAAAATTGAAAATCTCTTAGAAAATGACACAAAAGCACTAGACAGAGAAAGGCACATGCATTTCCTTCTGTCCTCTCAGGCAGTCCTTCAGCAAATGGTTGCTGGAGTGGTTGTAATGTAGTGGCTCTGTTGTAAGGGGTTGAAGATAGAGAGGTGGTCAGGGTGCTGTACCCACTCACAGAAAGAGCTTACAAGTTAACAAAACCAAGATGCCAGTGAGACAGAGCAAGCCCTAACCTCAGCTGTGGGAAGGACAAACATAAAGGTGAGTCTCCAGGGAAGAGAAGGAAGACTTCACTTTCCAACACGAGTGAGGGACTCTCAAGTCCCCCATCTCCTCCTGAGAACAAAAGGAAATACTGTACAAAGGAGGAAACATGTGACTGAATGCACCAAATATCTGACAACCCCACGAAGACACACAAGACCAAGATGGAGAAGAAGGAAGCCCAGGACAAAGCCAGCCCGGCAGTTGGACCCAAACTCCCTAGGACTCATCATTGATGTGGGGGGCATACATTTGAACAGCAAGGAAGCTGAACAACTTTATGGACACAGACTTAGAAGTAAACAAGTGTAGTTCAGGGGCGGCCAGCAAAGATGAGCCCTAGTGAAGCTGTGGGCTTTGGCCAAGACTCAGAAGAGTTACACTTAAAAAATCAGGGGACAGGAAACAACTTGACTTTCTTAGGGATTGGGCCTGCAGTGAACAATCTCACTGGAAGAATGGATGCAGGGATCCAGTACTGCTGGTACCCATACCCACTTTCCAGAAAGCAACTTCCATTGTTTCTGCAGCAAGGTAATTCAATTTTTTCCCCACACATTTTTGACCCATGTCTGGTCCTAAACAAAAATGACCTAATTGCTGGGTGACAAAACAGTGTGATGCGATTGAAACCTATAGGAAAGTGTAGGTGGATCCAGAGTGGATCCAAGTATTAACGTTATTAATGATGGTACCTTCCCTCTTCCGCCCCAAAAACATGGCACAATGTGTGACAAGCACTTAGGACAGAAAGCAAGGTAGGAAGGGAAGGTGCAATTCTACTGAATGCATTTGGCAAAAATACTCTGGACCCAGTTCCAAAAGAAATACAATTATCTCTACTGGCTGCCATGTTCTCCCAGACAATCCAGTCCTTGTGACAATTCTCACATGAATGTCTTACTTTTCTAAATTTTTTTAACGTTTATTCATTTTTTGATAGAGACAGAGTTTGAGTTGGGTAGGGGCAGAGGGAGATACAGAATCCAAAGCAAGCTCCAGGCTCTGAACTGTCAACACAGAGCCCAACACGGGGCTTGAATTCATGGACCGTGACATCATGACCTTAGCCGAAGTTGGATGTTCAACCAACTGAGCCACCCAAGGCGCCCCCATCTTACTTTTTTGTAGGCACTTTTCTTTGTTCATAGAATTCTTCCAGGTTATATGCTTTCTCCTTCAGCTGTTTGACTTTTGCTTCCTTTGTGGCTTTCACGGACCTCAATGCATCACACTTGTCTTCCAGGGCGTTTTTATTTTCTGGAGAAAAAAGGTATTTTCTTGATAAACGTGCACATGACCTGAGTCTTGATTTTGGTGAGACACAAAAAGCGCAAGAACCATGAAGGCATGAAAGTATTCTTTCCCTTACCAATGCAAAGTCATTGACATCATATGGGGATTTCCCCCCAACAGAAAATGTAACTTCTAATTGACAGTTATTGGACCTCGAGACTCTTAGCTCTACATCCTCAAATTCAACATTTGCATCTTGTGGTCAAGGCAGATATGAGGAAAGACTTCCACGGAAAACTGATCACACAACAATTTGTACCTCACACAGCAAGATCGTGCATTGCAATCAACGAACACCTTGAGGCATGAATATAACTAGAAGATAAAGATGATGGAAAATAGCTCATGTCTAACAACTCATGGCTTTCATAGTGGTATACGTATGTGTGTATGTATGTATGTATGTATGCATGCATGCATGCCTGTTTATCCCCCCATTCACGTTGAAAATTTACTATTCAGCATTCAGAGAGAAAGAGACTATTGAACACCTGGGTGGCTCAGTCAGTTGAGCATCAGACTCTTGATTTTGGGTCAGGTCATGATTGTAGGATCATGTGATCCAGACCTGTGTTGGGCTCCACACTGAGCGTGAATCCTGCTTAAGATTCTCTCTCTTTCCCTCTGCCTTCTCCCCCACTTGCATGCCCCCTCGCTAAAATTGAAAAAAATCATAAAACAATTTAAACATGCTTTTTAAAGGGAAAGAATTATACACTTTGGCTATAACCCGTTCTCTCTCAACTATATTTGGGTATTTTCTACATATCTTGGAGGGCGGGGTTGAATGATGTGATAATTACCTAGTTGTGAAAATAAAAGATAACTCCTAGTCCTTGAAATTGCAAAACTCATCTTGGCGGTCCTAGTAAAATTCCAGCTCATTGGTCAGAAAGAGTTTTGGCTCCCAGAGACCCACTGTCTACTGTGGTAAATGGCAGGCAAATATGCTGTGCTCACTTCACCCAATGAACAAAAAGCCTCCAAAGCCAAATTACGGTAAAACTCAGCAGACAACTCTTACCACTTCCTGTTTCTTCACATTTCTTTGTCTCTGAGTTTGCAAGGTAGCAAGTGCACTTTGAACGGTGTCATTTAAAATTTCATTAAAGTGGGTGCCTGGGGGGCTCAGTCCGTTAAGCATCTGACTTCAGCTCAGGTCATCATCTCATGGTTTGTGAGTTTGAGCCCTGTGTCGGACTCTGTGCTGACAGCTCAGAGCCTGAGGCCTGCTTCGGATTCTGTGTCTCCCTCTCTCTCTGCCCCTCCCCCGCTCATGCTGTGTGTCTCTCTAAAATAAACAAAAATAATTTTATGTTTACTTGTACTCAACAAGTACAAAAAGATAGAGATCATACCATGCATAGTTTCAGCCCCAATGCTATGAAACTCGAAATCAACCACAAGAAAAAATTTGGAACGATAACAAATACTTGTAGACTAAAGAACATCCTACTGAACAATGAATGGTGGAATGCAAGCTGCTGCAGCCAGTCTGGAAAAGAATACGGAGGCTCCTCAAAAAGCTAAAAAGAGAGCTATCCTACGACACAGCAATTGCAATACTAGGCATTTATCTAAGGGATACAGGTGTGCTGTTTCGAAGGGACACATCCACCCCCATAATTATAGCACCACTATCAACAATAGCCAAAGTATGGAAAAAGCCCAAATGTCCATTGATGGATGAATGGATAAAGAAGATGTGGGGTGTGTGTGTGTGTGTGTGTGTGTGTGTGATGGAGTATTACTCAGCAATCAAAAAGAATGAAATCTTGCCATTTGCAACTACATGGTTGGAACTAGAGGGTATTATGCTAAGTGAAATTAGTAGTCAGAGAAGGACAAATATCATGATTTCACTCATAGGAGGACTTTAAGAGACAAAAACAGATGAACATATAATGGAAGGGAAACAAATAATATAAAAACAGGGAGGTGTAGAAAAGAAGCGCACACATAAATATGGAGAACAAACAGTGGGTTACTGGAGGGGTTGGGGGGGATGGACTAAATGGGTAAGGGGCACTAAGGAATCTACTCATGAAATAACTGTTGCACTATACGGTAACTAATTTGGATGTAAGTTGTAAATAATAAAAACTAAAATTAAAAACAAAGAATGAATGGGTGAACCAAGAAGTTAAAGGGAAAATTAAAAAGTATGTGGAATCCAATAAAACTGATAACACCACAGCCCAAAACCTCTGGGATGCAGCAAAGGTAGTCATAAGAGGAAGTTTAGCAATCCAGGTCTTCCTAAAGAGGGAAGAAAAGTCTCAGATACACAACCTAAGCTTATACCTTAAAGTAATGGAAAAAAGATCATCCAATAAAAACCAAATCCAGCAGAAGACAAGAAATGATAAAGATTACAGCAAAAATCAATGCTTTCAAAACTGAAAACAAGAACAAAAACAACAACAACCCCCCCCACACACACACACACAGAAACAGTAGAAGAGATCAATGTAACCAGAAGCTGGTTCTTTGAAATAATTAATAAAAGTGATAAACCACCAGCCAGTTGGATCAAAAAGAATAAGGAACGGACCCAAATAAATAAAATCAAGAATGAAAGAGGAGAGATCACAACCAACACAGGAGAAATACAAACAAGAATAAGAGAATATTATCAGCAATTATATACCAATAAAATGGGCAATCTGGAAGAAATGGACAAATTCCTAGAAATATACAAACTACGAAAACTGAAAGAGGAAGAAATAGAAAATTTGAACAGACCCATAACCAGTAAAGAATTGAATTAGTAATCAAAAATCTCCCAAAAATCAAGAGCCCAGGGCCAGATGGCTCTCCAGGGGAATTCTACCAAACATTTAAGGAAGAGTTAACACCTATTCTCTTGAAGCTGTGCCAAAAATAGAAATGGAAGGAAAACATCCAAACTCTTCCTATGAGTCGGCATTACCTGGATTCCAAAACAAAAAAGGAGAAGTATAGACCAATTTTCATGATGAACATGGACGCAAAAATCTTCCACAAGATATTAGCCAACCAGATCCAATGATACATTTAAACTTTATTCACCACGACCAAGTGGGATTTATACCTGGAATGCAAGGCTGGATCCATATCCACAAAATAATCAATGTGATTCATCACATCAATAAAAGAAGGGACAAGAACCACATGATGCACTCAATAGATGCAGAGAAAGCATTTGGCAAAATACAGCATCCTTTCTTGATAAAAGGATTCCACCAAAACCTGCTAAAATGATCCATGAATTCAGCAAAGTGGCAGGATATAAAATCAATACACAGAAATTAATTGCATTCTTGTACACAAACAAAAAAGCAACAGAAAGAGAAATCACAGAATCCATCCCGTTTACAATTGCACCAAAACCCGTAAAATACCTAGGAATAAATCTAACCAAAGAGGTGAAAAATCTATACACTGAAATCTATAGAAAGATTATGAAAGAAATTGAAGATGACAAACACAAAAACGAAAAACATTCCATGCTCCTGGATAGGAAGAACAAATATTGTCAAAATGTCAATAGTACCCAAAGCAATCTACATATTCAAAGCAATACCTAGCGAAATAACACCAGCATTCTCCACAGAGTTACAACAAACAATCCTTCAATTTGTATGGAACCAGAAAAGACCCTGAATAGCCAAAGCAATCTTGAAAAAGAAAACCTAAGTAGGAGGTATCACAATCCTGGACTTACAGCTGTATTACAAAGCTGTAATCATCAAGACAGTATGGTACTGGCACAGAACAGACACTCAGATCAATGGAAAAGAATAGGAGCACAGAATTGGACCCACAGATGTGTATGGCCAACTAATCTTTGTCCAAAAGAAAGAAGATCCAACGGAATAAAGACAGTCTCCTCAGCAAGTGTGCTGGGAAAACTGAACAGTGAGATGCAGAAGAATGAGCCTGGACCACTTTCTCACACAAAAAGACACTCAAAACGGATGAAAGACCTAAACGTAAGATAGGCAGCCATCAAAATCCTCAAGGGGAAAGCAGGAAAAAACCTCTTAAGGTTGGCGTCCACAACTTCTTACTCAACACGTCTCCAGAGGGAAGGGAAACAAAAGCAAAAATGAACTATTAGGACCTCATCAAAATAAAAAGCTTCTGCACAGAGAAGGAAACAATCAGCAAAACTAAAAGGCAACCAACAGAATGGGAGAAGATATTTGCAAACGACATATGAGATAAAGGATTAGTATTCAAAATCTATAAAGAACATGCCAAACTCAACACCCGAAAAACAAGTAATCCAGTGAAGAAATGGGCAGACATGAGCAAACATTCCTCCAAGGAAGACATCCAGATGGCCAACCGACACATGAAGAAATGCTCAAAATCACTCATCATCAGGAAAATACAAATCAAAACCACAATAAACACCCCTTCACCCCTGTGAGAATGGCTAACGTTAACAACGCAGGCAACAACAGATGTTGGCGAGGAAATGGATAAAGAGCAACTCTTGCACTGCTGGTGCACTGGTGCACTGTCTGGCACTGCTGGTGCAGCCACTCTTGAAAACAGTATGTAGGTTCCTCAAAAAAATGAAAGAACTGTTCTACAACCCAGCATGTGCACTAGTAGGTATTTATGCAAGGGATACAGATATGTATTTCGAAGGGACACGTGAACCCCAAAGTTTATAGCAGTACTATCAACAATAAAGTATGGAAAAAGCCCAAATGTCCATCAACAGATGAATGGATAAAGACATGGTATATATACATACATATATACATAGTATGTATATGTGTATGTGTCTATACATATATGTATATGTGTGTGTATATATATATATATATACACACACACACAATGGATTATTACTTAGCAATCAAAAAGAATAAAATCTTGCCGATTGAAACTACATGGATGGAAAGCCTCCTGGGACTAAACACTAACCGTAACCATAACCCTAACCATAACCCTCACCCTACACTTAACCCTATCTAGCACATGAAATGTAAACCAGATCCGCAGCCGCACATGTGCCCTCACTTCAGCCCTCCATGGAATTAACAACATTGGTGTTGCTTCGGACTTAGTGACTTCCCTATACCGAACC